TGCCCTCCTGTCCTGACCGGTACAAGTACAAATGCCTGAGCACGCGCCTGCGCCATACACTTCGGCTTCACGAATATTCACGATGTTTGAAAGTTGAAAAGAGAGAAGACTTTTATCAATACATATTTTATTTTATTCCAAGTTGTAAGTCGAATGAAAAATTAAATATTGCTGTTGTTACAATACAAAATTAATATTAAGTTCCTTATTATCTATATACATTACAGGTATATTATGGAATTTGAAATTAGTTTGTGTGTGTGATAGAGACATTTTCAGAAATCACACAAAATTGGCAAATTTAATACTGGGTCCTACCGGTCTGAGGTCCTACCTAGTTTTGTAAAATAATGTTAGCCATTTTTTAGCTGTAATAAGTATCTAATTTTGAGAACAAAAAATCTTTTTGTCGATAGATATTTACGAAAGGATGTTTCTAAAACATTTCAGGACAATCATCCTAGAGATGTTACATTACAAACATCGCAGCGATGTACCATTTATGTCGGAAACATAAGGACCTTAATGGTACATAAATAGGATGTTTCTGGGAGATCGGTGTTATTAGGGAGGTGTAGCGAAAAACCACAAATTGACAAATCCTCCACACAGCACGACGCCATTACGAAATAAAATTCCGCCCAACAACACAAGCGTAGCGCACAGGACGACCCGTTCGACTGATTCTGCCCGTCTGCGCTGGCTGCGGCGCCGACCCGACGTGGTGGCGTGCCCTCCTGTCCTGACCGGTACAAGTACAAATGCCTGAGCACGCGCCTGCGCCATACACTTCGGCTTCACGAATATTCACGATGTTTGAAAGTTGAAAAGAGAGAAGACTTTTATCAATACATATTTTATTTTATTCCAAGTTGTAAGTCGAATGAAAAATTAAATATTGCTGTTGTTACAATACAAAATTAATATTAAGTTCCTTATTATCTATATACATTACAGGTATATTATGGAATTTGAAATTAGTTTGTGTGTGTGATAGAGACATTTTCAGAAATCACACAAAATTGGCAAATTTAATACTGGGTCCTACCGGTCTGAGGTCCTACCTAGTTTTGTAAAATAATGTTAGCCATTTTTTAGCTGTAATAAGTATCTAATTTTGAGAACAAAAAATCTTTTTGTCGATAGATATTTACGAAAGGATGTTTCTAAAACATTTCAGGACAATCATCCTAGAGATGTTACATTACAAACATCGCAGCGATGTACCATTTATGTCGGAAACATAAGGACCTTAATGGTACATAAATAGGATGTTTCTGGGAGATCGGTGTTATTAGGGTGAATGAATTTTAGGATTATGGATTAAAAATTACCTAATTCAATAATTTTCAATTTTCGTTCTATTTTCTGGAAGTCAGAACTTTTTCCAAAAAAAAAACAAAAATTGAAAATTATAAAATTAAGTAGGCACATCAGTTTCCAATAACATTTTTTATTGAAAAAATAAGGTACATGTATACTTATATTGATTATCTATCAACTAATAATAATCGACGGACAATTTTGCCTAAATAATGTAGTATTTATGCCCCGTCATGTCATCGAAAACCATAGTTTGGCAGTGGCAGCATGTTGTAGTAGGGGAGTTCGGCGTTTTCTTTTTTTGTTGGTGCTCCAATTTCATAAAGGTACCATTATCTAACCAAAACAACCACAGAACCAAAATCCAAAGTTCTTGAAGTACAATTCAACTTGCACACCTAGAATGTAATCAACTATGAAAACAAAAAATAATTATTGGTTATTTTCTCTTACCTAATGAAGAATGAAGTTCGGGTTTCTAGGGGCTATTTATCAGAAAAGTTAGAAATTTCCTAACCGACGCCATATTGAAATTAAATAAACTAAACAATTGATAGTTATGCGACGTTATCTTTCAACAAATAATCTTTCTCACCAACTAATAAGCACTGGTAGGTCGCAGAGATCCTTTCGAACACAAAATGGCACAACTAGGTGTAGCGAAAAACCACAAATTGACAAATCCTCAACACAGCACGACGCCATTACGAAATAAAATTCCGCCCAACAACACAAGCGTAGCGCACAGGACGACCCGTTCGACTGATTCTGCCCGTCTGCGCTAGCTGCGGCGCCGACCCGACGTGGTGGCGTGCCCTCCTGTCCTGACCGGTACAAGTACAAATGCCTGAGCACGCGCCTGCGCCATACACTTCGGCTTCACGAATATTCACGATGTTTGAAAGTTGAAAAGAGAGAAGACTTTTATCAATACATATTTTATTTTATTCCAAGTTGTAAGTCGAATGAAAAATTAAATATTGCTGTTGTTACAATACAAAATTAATATTAAGTTCCTTATTATCTATATACATTACAGGTATATTATGGAATTTGAAATTAGTTTGTGTGTGTGATAGAGACATTTTCAGAAATCACACAAAATTGGCAAATTTAATACTGGGTCCTACCGGTCTGAGGTCCTACCTAGTTTTGTAAAATAATGTTAGCCATTTTTTAGCTGTAATAAGTATCTAATTTTGAGAACAAAAAATCTTTTTGTCGATAGATATTTTCGAAAGGATGTTTCTAAAACATTTCAGGACAATCATCCTAGAGATGTTACATTACAAACATCGCAGCGATGTACCATTTATGTCGGAAACATAAGGACCTTAATGGTACATAAATAGGATGTTTCTGGGAGATCGGTGTTATTAGGGACGCAGAAAGTTCTATATGAACTCGTTGTCACCTTTTCGATCACTTATGAGAGTCGAGCCGAGACACAAAGGATGTCCTAAAATCCAACATCTGCACAATCTGAAAAACAAAAAGGGCGATGACAATTCTGTTGCGGCATCTTTCTTTCGTTTCAAAAAAAGTTAGCCAACGTTGGTGATAACCGCAGACTTCCAACTCCAGTAGTAACCGAGTTATTCCTTATGTACAACCAGAATCGGTCTCCCTGTACAGGGTATATCCACCATAAATTGACCCCCCACATGCAGCCGTAATTACAGGTGACAGGTAAAAAAAGGTAAATACAAAAGTAGTACCTACCTCCCTGAACCGCCGGAGATTTTAATCCGATTGAACAAATGAACATCGTAAATGTCAAATGTTGACAAAAGTTGTATACTTTTTAAATAGGACGCTCTGTATATTATAGCATCTTTGAATTTGAATTCTACGAAAAATTCGAAGCATATTTGCTTGTTATATCTATAGTCGTCCTACCTATACCCAGATTCAACTGTTCCGGAAATATTGACAGGTGAACTTAACATTTTTGCAATTTTGCAGGTTTTAAAACCTAAACCTTAAACGGTTAATTTTTGAGCATAACCGATTTTATATTTATTAGTTTTCTATAAGCTGTCATTTGACACCAACTTTGAATTTAATCCACGCTACTACTTTTGTATTCACCTTTTTCACCTGTCACCGGTAATTACGGCTGCAGGTGGGGGGTCAATTATGGTAGACCACCATGTATCTTGAGAATATAGTTTTTTTGATGTGTAGTCGGAAGTTTTGAAGAATTTTGTCTATAAGAGCTTCGTTCTGCTCTATTTAATAATGGATTGATGTCTTCCTCGCCTTTATTCTTTGACATTCGAGTGTATATAGTTTATGAAATTTAGAAATTGTCCTGTTTGGATGGGTTTCCTGTGGACTGTCATGTTGACGTATCTGCTAATGCTTTTTGTAAGTAATTCGAGTATGGTTTTTGAAATTGAGATATTTGTCCTGTTTTGGTGGATTTCCTGTGGATTATCATGTTGACGTATGAGCTGATGCTTCCTGTAAGTGCATCTAAGAATCGTAAACTGTTTTCTGTATGTATATTCCGCGGTAAGTTTCATGGTAGGTCTAATTTCGTTGATGTGGTTGAGAAATTGGTTCATGAAATCCCATATGATGAAAGTATCTTCAACATGTCTCAGCCATAATTTAGGTTTTAGACTTGCGGTTTGGATTGTTTTCGTCATCGATCCAGTTCATATAAAATGTTCGCCTCGACAAATGATGGTGATGATCTCATGGACAGTACTTACATCTTTTTTTGCGAAGAATTGGTCTTGTTCTCGGAACTACGAGTCTTCCACGCAACATTTCATCAGATCTAATTATTGCTTCTATTTTTTAAATTTTGTTCTTCCCAGTTTTTCTTCCATGATGTAGTTTCTTTTTCATCATAGAAGGAAAACTTGGCGGCGACAAACATAACAACACGCAGAAAAATACCAGAGGGACCATGAAATCCCATACAAAGGAATCTATAAGGAAACGTTCAAAGAATTCGTTGAAAATACAATGTGAGAACAGTCTTGAGCTCAAATCGGCGGGAAAAACCTCATATTTATATACAAGGTAGCTACCCTGCGAATGCGGAGAATCCTCTATTTTGGGGAGACAAAATGTCTATTTGATATACAATTGAATGAACATAAAGCGAATACCCAAAAAGGAGAAACTTAAAAATCCGGCATAATCCACCCGCCGAAATGTCGCAATTATTGTGAACAAAGGTAATGCAAGTCCAAAATCATGTTTTCAAACAATAATAGACCTATCTATTTTTACCTGGTATGCGCGCGCAACACGAGGCAATGCATTTTTATTGGCTAACTAGTACAGGTGAGAGGTGTTCGTTTTGCACGCTAGGCATCTACTTCTCCTTGTCAATTGCCCGTGGTCTGACAAGGATCAGAATTATGGTTGATAAATAACTTGACGTAGCTTGAAAAGTGATCGATTTTCAATTGTTTGTGTTTTTGATATGACAAATACGTTGCATGTCACGCGGCTTTCCTCCTTCCCTTTTTATCCCGTGCAAATAATAAGAAGGGATTGCTATACGTAAGTCTAACATGGTTTGGTACGTTTTGCCTCGTCTTTCTATCTAATAAAGTTTTCGTATTATCACCTCTTTGTCTGGTAAAATAGATAGGTCTATTGCACGATACCCACCAGTTCAAACAAACAATTGAACTTGAAATATTTTTTTTCAGCAAATAGCTCAGGTATTCCTCTGCTCCCAGCAAATAGTACAGGTGGTACCTCAGTTAAAGACTTAGAAAACGCAATGTCCAAACACCTTCCAGCATGTAAATCACCTACGCATCAACCAACAGATTTTAGTACGGATGCACTCTTGAAGCAACAGCAAAGGACAACGATACAATGGATAGGAGCGCATCAGCAACTTCAGCAGCAAGGCCCTTTGCCAGCTTCCGCACTTTTGAGACAGCTTTATGCTAATAGGGAAAGCGTTATCAGGGCGAATGTACACGGGATTACGAGTACTGGAAGTCGTTCCAGTAGTGCGACAGGTACAAAATTAGTTTCTTTTTTATGTTAAAAAAAATCTTGATTCTAAACTAAAATAATTTCTTCCAGGATATTATCCAACTGATAGCCAAATAGGCCCGCTACCAACTCCACCAGGTAGTGAAGGCTCATCATCATATAGTGACCACCAGTTCCTGCTATCCCAACATCAGAACTACCCTACAGGATACTCCATGGATTATCACTCGGCGATGACTCCTCCGTCCAGCGTCTCTCCTAGAGACAAACATCAGCAGCTTCATTCTGGTGTTACTTTTGATTCGCCAGTACCATACCAGGATGTTTTAAGGCAATATCCTGATAGCCCTTTGCCTTTGAAGCCTCAAGTATACTCGTATGTTGATCAGCCTCAATTTTACCATCACGGTACGACCGGAGCTGGGTTTCATTTGTATCATCCCAGTAAAGGTACTGGGGCACCTTCGAATTGGTATTCACCTTCATAGTAATATTAAGGACATTATTTGTAATTTCCTTGGATTTTGTATCTAAACTGTATTTATGTATCTTTTATGTACAGAACATATTATTATCCATGAACATAAATTAAGTCTACCAAGCCGAAAAATATATAGAATCAAAAAGTAAACGAAGGGTAACTATGTGCTTGACAGTGGATAATTAACTATAAATAAACCAAAGAACTTTGATATGAAATAACATGATATTTTAAGCACTGAAATGTAAAAATATATTTAAAAAAAACGCTAATCACAGACCTGTGTACATCTACATAATATAAAAGATCATGTTATTTTTTCATTTTAATTAGGTCATCAGCGACAGCTATCACTGGTAATTGTGAATACTTTGAAATTCAATTAAATATATGATTTTTGCGAAAAAAGTCCGTGGAGATGATTAATCAAACGCAGATGATTTGTGATCTTCAAAATGTTGCATAAATTCGTTTAAAAATGTCACATTGACTGAAAAATATATTTAATTGATTTGTAAATTCCATGCACGTGCTTGAGAGTTGAATGCATACAGACTCTGTAATGTAAAAAAGTAAAGACCCTTTTAAAATGTAGACTAATTTTTCTTACAGATTCTGTACATTCGTAACTGTGTACATATAATATAAGAATATCTTTAGCTATAGATAGCTGTATGTACCTATGTTATTTTTGTTGGGCATTGATTGACGTTAAATTTAAAAAAAAAAAAAACTTTTTATACATACCGGCGTCGATTTAATTATTTTTAAGTTAGTTTATTTGGTTGATTAATTGTTGAAAATTGTAGGCGCGATTCTAGACCTAACCTACTTATCACGATCTAAAACGGTGCTGACAAGGTCATTAATGTGATAATCTTCAATTTTTTTTTTGTTAATTTTTAATTGTTCAATGTTTTGTGTTAACTTTGTTTTGTCAAATAGTTCTCAGTACAAAAGAAAAATATCACTAGTAATCGTCAAAAAATATATGTGCAATATGAATATTCTTTATTATTTAAATTTAAGTTTTTTTCTTGTATGCAATGTGTAATCTTACTTAAAAAAAAAAAAACGAGATAGTTTTGCAAATAATGATTGAAATTACGTTTGTAGAGATACTACCTCAACTTCTTTTAATATGGCAACCCAATCGTGAAAATACTTTACAAATTTGTCATCCTCAAAATTTAAGTAGTCACTGTTTATTTATATTGTTCAATAAATTATTTACAAATCTTTTTGTATATTTTTTTTATTATTTCTTCATGTTCTCTGAATTATCTTATCACTTCCAAACCTACTTACCTTGGTGGAGCCTAGTCTTACATTGCAGCGCTCATTGATGGTATAAACCTATTATTCTGGACCTACAACTTCTCCCGAATTGGTTGCATACTATCAGCGTGAAGAGATGGACCTGGTCTCTGTCTTAGTCGCCCAAATTGTTATTTCCATAATACTGACAAAGAGCAATCGTTCTCTTGAGAACGCTGTTCTCCGGTTACCAGAATACGGCCCCAGGAATTAATACAAACTCATCGTATCAGTTATTAACAGTTGGTACTACAATTAAATACTTGTTTCGTAGAAACTTTTGGGTCTTAATTACTTGGCCAAGGTATTCAAAAAAATAAAAAACGACGGTACCTTATCTGTACCAATTGGATCACTTTTATTAGAAAACGTCAATTTCATTGGTGCAAACCGCATTTCGATATCTTTCAAAGCTTTGTCACCAGCGAGGGCTTGACGATATTGTGCAAGCTTGATAACTTTTTTTTTCTGAAAATATTCGATTCATGTAAAAACTTTCCAAATGAAGTTTTTTGAGCAGAATCCAGTGACTTTTTTTTTCGAGATATTGACCAAAGTCAAAACAATATAAGGTCTGTTCGCACAGAAATCACAAATCAGTCAGAGTGAATTTTATTGGTTGAAACTATTTTTCTGACTGTTTTCAACCAATGAAATTCGCTCTGGACTAGTTTGTGATTTCTGTACGAACAGACCTATAGTTGACTAGTAAAAAAAACAACACTATTAAAAGGTCATAAGGATAGTTATTTCCGTTTTATTTTCATTATGTTAGGCAGAATATAATTTATAATTTTGGTATAAATGGCAGATAGAGGTACATTAACTAAGGTAAAAAACAATATTTTCTTTACTTGTTATCATCTAATAATGGTTTAAGAAGCTTAGGGTGATGTGTAGGTCCAAAAAAACTAAGATTGAGCTGTGACAGTTTTTTTTTTAAAAAAAATTAAAAAAATCGATTATGTAGGTATACATTACTCGCAAACTTGTGGATGTCTCTTGCCACACACATTATTATACGTGCAGATTTGCAATGCTTAGAATATCACACTTATAGCAACTCCGGCCCTTTTTACAATGGACTTATTGGACAGACAGATAAATTCATGTAACTTAACCTACCTACATATTGGCTAGTAGGCTAGCAATTTGTAGACATTGCAGGACACCTATTGTCCTTATAAAAGATTATCCAAAATGTGCAAGTTAAAGAATAGTAGGTAGGTATGCTCCAATGAGAATAATTAAGATTGGCTTGCAAAATTTTTGCTGTGACTGAGGATGAAAGTTAAATTATGCAAATTTCTGAATGGGTATTGTAGCCGAACACTAGGACAAGGTCGGGTCAATTTTGATTTTTTTCTAATTGAAATGAAACAAAAAATGCGTAAGGATTAAGAATAAAATTTTTTTTTTTTTTTTTGGGAAATGGCAAGATTGAACGCTGGGGCAATAATTTCATATCTGAACAGGCCTCAATAGGGGGGGAGCAAACGAATAAAATTGGAGAAATTTTCAAAATATTAGCCGAATCAATAGAACTTTCAGATTTTTAGAAGATGTATGTTCTTAGTCCAAAACGAAACAGCAAACTGTATTAAAAGCCAGAAAATTGGCATCCATAGTGGTTTTAATCCGATTTGAAAAAATTTCATTTGACGTTCATGAATTATATTTTACAACTGCCAAAGTTTGATAAAATTAAATTACTCAGAGTCAAAGACTCAGAGTTTAAAAAATAACTCTGCCAAATTTTTGCTTGCAGCACAATTCACCATTCTTCAATCAAAATTGACTCTTCAGTAGGTATGATCTGATCGAATTGGAAAAATGGAAATTAGTTTAAAGAGAATCAAATTTATGGAACAACCAAGGCATGCATGAAATATTCATTGATACACAACAGTTATGGTCCATTGTAAATGGGGCTCAATCTTAACATTTAACATAGGCAGATACTACTTCCATATTATCGTTTAAAATAGAAATTATTTTTCCCCTGTGAAACTATTTTTTCGATGATGGTCTGGATTGGAGCGCTTAGCACATGCAGCCGCCTTCCGAGTCTTGTTGGTCATTCTGTAGTTGTGGCTGAGTTTGGAGATCAACAGCTGAAAAATGATCATTAAGGAAAATGACACAATTTGTTTTTGCAACCTCGAGAATGATCTAGAGCTAAATCATGCAACTGTACATAAAATCAAAATTAAACTCCAAAAACTCTAATAAAAGCCAGAGAAAATCAATTTTACAATTTTTAAGGAAAAACAAGTTCAAAAAATACAAAATAGCTGCAGTTTTCAACATTTGTAAAAAAAACTAATTCATTATTTTTCTATATTAAATTTATTTGGTGTAAAATTCAGGTTACAAAATTCTATAAACTTAGATTGAACTTTTACAATCTTTTGCTATCTTCTTGCAAAAGGACCAAATACAGAAAAAACTGCATTTAGAAAAAAAAACTATTATAATGGTGGGTTCACTGGTTGCTAAATTCAATATAAGTTTGAGCCTACGTACTTTGTATTTATGGTCCTACATCGTATTATTTTTATATTTCTACTAATATGTTTATTGAAGATAGCATTACAGTTACAAAAGAATAGTTTTTTTTACCTGTAGTGTTAATTATGGCCCTATTAGGTATATTACCATTGATGCAGCTTTATCCAATATGTTTAGTGGAAAATTGAATCTATAAGGGCACTTCAGCAAATTTTGAGTGCTTAATAATTTATTGCAATATAGGCCAAAGATTCTTACATTAAACACATATTACAAGTATCTGCATACCAAGCCTATGTATTAGAAATTATAAAGCTTTAAAATTAATTTTTGAAAAAAAGAGCATAGAATTAGGTAAAAAGTACCTACATCAGGAGCAGAAAAAGTTTACAACTTTTACAATATCTGTAAAAGTAAACAGTAAATACATAAATAGAAGGATAGCTGGTAGTTTGGGAGCTTTTACTTTTTTTTGTCGAAGAAACATTTTAAAATGTTATTCCATCTGCAAAATTCATGAAAGTTTACGGATTTTGTCCTATTTCTCTTCATTATGAGGATTCGTGGTGATGTAAACAAAATAGAAAAAAAAACGAGTGGACTGAATAAAGCACTTTTGATGATAGAAATTCTAGGAAAGACCCTTAAGGTCATGGAATAAATGTTGTATCCCAAGATGAACTTTCAAGCTCCTTTAATAGAAAATTTGTTATGTTTATTCATTTGTTTTTTTAAAGGCATCACCATGATATTTGAAATGTATATAGAAATTGTCGGCTACTAAAACAATTTAGTGATTTAACTCTTTGATGTATAAATGTAACAGATAAAGTGTGAAAGTTTGGTGTTACTTCTGAGCCTAATGTGTGGAACTCTCAAACCAAATTCTAAGATCAATCCAAATACTGTTATTTCTAAAATTAATAAAAGTTAAATTTTCAGCTCTACTACAAAGTTCCTGAAGAATGAAAAAAAAAATAAGCATATTTTATACATACATCATATAACTAATAATGCTGCGTCCATCACACCAGGATTATGAATCCGTATACAGACTAGAAAAGATCCTGTTATAACATCAATCATTTTGTTTGGGTGCTAATGTTTTTATTACATTATACGTGTTTCTGCGCAATGGGCAGTATTATTCATTGGCATGCAGTGATTTAGATAAAAGAAATATTTATTCAATAATTAATTGAATTGTTTTTGAAAAAAGAAATTCATTGATGCAAGAGGAAAGTTTTAATCTTGGTGATTTAATGTGGACCTCAGTGAAAAACCATCTGGTTTGGCCAGCGCGGTTCGAGCCCCAAACCAAAACAAGAGTCAAAAACGGGGTACAACTTTGGAGCCAAAACCGATGAAATGTGCCGGCCTCAAAGTGAACTACCGCCGAGGTCAAGAGGAGAGCTGATGAGATCCACGAAGGCCTGGTCAGAGTTTCCTTGGCACAGTGCGACGTAATAACATCCTCAGACATCGCCCTAGATCCTGACTTTGCCAAAAACAACGACACAGCAAACAGAGTCCAAGTCAAGTATCAGATATGTCTCAAAAATTATTTGTGGTCACAAAAATAAGAATACACATACCTGCCTGGACGTGAAATCCCTGCACAGGGAAAGCACGCAGAATTATTAGTAAGATGTATGTATATAAAAAGATTTTTCTCTTATAAAAAAAATATAAGTATATCCTTATTAGTTAAAAAATAAATAAATTAATAAATGCACATCTGAATAAAATATAAACCTACTTGTAGGGAAATGTTGACAAAACTGAGCAGAATATACACACTTCGCGATCACTGGGAACGGTTACGTACATTATGATACATATAATAAGAAGCCGGTATATACATAAAATATATAAATTTTAAAGCCTATACATGGCAAGTGATCAAAAAATATTAAAGCTGGAACAAGCAAAATTGCAGGTGTCAATTCCACCAGTCTGATGGACTTCTTCAAATATGCAAAGCTTTGATTTACATTTTTGCTATAAATGTTGGATGTTGGTTACCCATGTGCCTCCTGACTGGACTGGATATATTTTCAAGAAAATTGTTCAAAGACAATTTTGTGGAAATTAAAGTCAAAGGAAAATTGAAAAAGTTCGAGTACGGGATTTGAGCTCGCGACCATCGCAACGCCAGTACGAAGCTCTACCAAGTTAACCAACCCACCTGGTATATTTTCGGCGAATATACGGCTGCTTCGTTCTATTCCCGTACACTTCAACCACTTCAATCCTCCAATGGCTCACAGGTTTCGATCACTATGTGTTAAAATTTCCAAAGAATGCCGGGCGACGTGAATGAGGTTGAACAAGGGAAGATTTTTTTTTTTTTTTCATTATGATAAGCCAGGGAATCAGAAATTGTGCTTCCAACATGTGACTAGAAAGGTGGAACAAAATTATCAGAAGATTTTGAGGGCTAGTCAAGCTTTACGTAATCGTCTAGTAATTTTTTACCTTATTTTTACCACACAACAAGAAATAACATCCAAACAATAACTTATTTAATTTTGCTCGACTTATATTAAGTATTTTTGATCACTGCATATATTGTTGACTATGAATAAAAATTTAAATAGTATTGCACAAAATTTCACCATTTACTTACTTATTGCTTTGTTCAGCGTCCTACGCAAAAACGCAGTTTCATCAAAAAAAAATAAATATTAAATGCAACTAAAACTTCTTGCTGGTCTAAGCACCATATATCATATTACTTGAGCATTGTTTCTACGTCAAAAATTAATAAACTTGTAGAAAAAAAGCTCAAGCTAAAGAAAAAATATACAACTAAACTATTTAAAAAAATAAGGCGACAATGTCACAAAAAAAAAAACATGTACAAATCCAAAAACATTATGATTGGTTGACAATAGTAAGCAAGCTTTGCACTAGATATGTATAAGCCTGAATTCAAATTCTATATGAGGCAAGAAAATGTTTCATCCATTTGATTTATTCTCATGTTGCACACAAAAAAAAATTAAAATTTTAAAGTTGACCCAAATGGACGGATTTTAAACAGTGAAAAAAATTATTTATAACCTTTTATAGGGTTTGCTTGTTATTAATTATTGAGTATTAAATCTTGTGAAAACTACAGTTCTTCATGCTTTCCAACTTGTATAGTTAAACATTTCATGAATCATATTTAATTTGCAAAGTATTGTCCATCAATCGAAGCACGAAAAACTGGGTAACGTGAACTCTAAAATTAAAATCAGCATGCACAGCCTCCGTCAGGATCTTTCACTTCATTGGGCGTGTCTTTCAGGACAACTTCTTGCACTGGAAGATCATTAAGGAAAATAAAAAAGAAAAATCAAAAAAATCATGTGGATGCAAAATCGATTTCATGCAGGCAAGGCATAACTATAACTGAAATACTTTTTTGAAAAATCTAAATTTTGTTTTTTGCAAAAGCAATTTTTTTGTAAAATTAAACTTTTAGAAAGCAAAAAGCCTAAATTTTTGCATGCAAAATATGTTATTCGAATTAGAAAAAAAAGGATACTGTCTTCTGGGGGTTTATTTTCTGTGGAGTCCATACCAGGAAGCGCTGCAGCTACGCGCCTAAATAACTGAAAGACAACGTGATATGACCTATTGTTTGCTAAGAAATTACGACTTACTTGTTTAACATTATATCCAGCTTTCGCACTAGTTTCAATAAACATAACGTTCAGTTCTTTCGCCTTACGTTCTCCTTCTTCTGTACTAACCTGCCTCTTGTCTGAAAGATCTGTTTTATTCCCCACTAGCATTATAATTACGTCACTACCTCTCTCGGTTCTAACATCATCAATCCACTTCGATGTCTGGTGAAAAGAATTTGCATCTACAAAACGGTTATATTAAAGAAAACTTTATTTAGATATTGTATATTTATTATTTATGCGATAATATACGCATATTTTAGGAAATATATCATTCACACTTAGTCAATGACCTGTGAATGTGACATTTTTTTTTTAGGTATTTGTCAACACATAAATTAAAATAGACTTAACATGTGATCGGGCTAGATGATATAAATTTCATATAGAATGTAAAACATCTTACTTGTTATATCATACACTACTACAGCAACTGTTGAATCTCTGATATAGGAGGGAATTAGAGATCTAAACCTTTCTTGTCCAGCAGTATCCCATAATTGCAATCTTACAGTCCTATCTTCTAGGTACATCGTTTTTGACAAAAAATCGATTCCTATGGTTGCCTACAAGAAATAATTTTCCCTTAAAAAGTATGATGTTATATATTATATAAGACAAGCATTTGTCATCCTTCAATTAAGGTTTTATGTTGCAACCTATCGAAATGTGCTAGTGAGTAACTGCAACAAAACTTGAAATACAGGAAAACTATCGGTATGAAGTAAGCACCCAAAAATTATTATTTCTTTAAATTCCACCATACGTTTTACAAGAAATTGTTCAAAAAGCTTAAAAATCCTGAACGAGGTCCCTATCAAATGTGAGGTAGAAAAACTACCCTATACAATGATAAAAAACAGAAAAAAAAGAAAAAATTTTTTGGCACAGTGGAATGAAGTGAATATTTAACCCTTACAAAAACGGTCCCATAAAACAGAAAAACTATCTTTCCCCAATAGAAAAGTGTTTTTTTTCCAATTTTTTTTTTTTTTTTTTTTGTCATATCTGGGTTAGTATCTTTGTTATAACGTTTTACATGGTTTATAGGAGAAGCTGTAGTAGCTTTTTCTACACTCCTCCATATTATGATATTTGTATATCACATTTATCACTGTTTGTACTAATCATTTTCGCTTATTTACTAAGTAGGTACTGTAGGTACAGTACAGTATTGGCTATAAATATCACCCCCCTGCCTTTTTTATTTGACATTTTAGAAAGAAGTGTCCCAAATAAAAGTTTTATGGTTGAAATTATTTACGTTTTTTCAACTTACTTTCGCATATACAGGGTGGTTTACAAAAGCTGGTCGTGATCCAACTTTCTTATTTTAAATGGAATAACCTGTCTATTATTGAATATTGAAATCCATGATTAAAAATTCCAATTAAATTTAATCTCCGGTTAAATTCAAAGTTGGTGTTGATGCTGGTTTATGAAAATCTAAGACAAGAATGTAAGATCGGTTTTGCTCTAAAATTAACCGTTTAGGATTTACAGCCTGGCAACGTTGCAAAAAAGTCAATTTTCAACTGTCAATATTTCCAAAACAGTTGAACTTAGGTATAGAATATTATATCACATGAAATCTGCCCAGAATTTTACATAGAATCCGATTATTCAATAATATACGGGAATACAGGGTATTCCATCTGAAATAAGAAAGTTGGACCGCAACCAGCTTTTCTGAAACCATGTGAAAGTGAGTTTTTTGAATTTTTTTCTTTATTTCAACCATAAAAATTTTATTTGGGAAGCTTCTTTTTAAAATATCAAATAAGAAAAGGTAGTGGGGTTGAAATTTATAACCAATAATCCTGTACATAATAGCTTAGTTCCAACACAGCAGAAAACTGTACAATGTACCGTCACGATTCTGCGCAAAACCTGAAATTTGTGCATAGAATCCGAAATTCCTATACTGAGGGGTTTCAAAACCGTTCATATGACAGTTTTTTGATGTGTTGGAACAGACCTATTATTATAAACTATGGAAAAAGAGTTGAATTCATCTGTAGGGTGGATATTATTTTACTGCTAAATGTTATTATGTAAGTACTCGATATTTTATGGTAAAATTTGCATATTTCCATAGGTATAATAAGTCATATAAATTAATACGATGCCTCTTTTTGTATTCACAATACCAAGAAAGGGTCTATCCTAGCATCAAAACCTTACAATTGGGTCGAATAAATATATAGATCTGAATTCCCTCTAGTTGATGAATTTTCCTGCAATATTTGACCGACTGGCAACAACCAACATGCTAAAGCAGTGAGGCTGGCTCCGACTAGAAAAAGACCTTGCTGTAATTCAAGCGCAATTGATATTTAAGTAACTTGTTATTAAAAGTACGCATTAAATCACACGAAGATGAAATTACAAATTGTTGAAATAGGTATTATTATATATCAATAGTTATACTTTAATAATTAAATTGTTAGATACCTATTAATTTTCTACTTTAAATCGTATCTATATTTAATAATTGTCTGCAATTTCAATTATTTACATTGTCAAAAAATTTGGCTGACAACAGATGAATAGCTTTAAAAAGTATATTGTGAAGGTGTTAAAATAAATCAACATTTACTTGCCGTGCGTTCGTTATTTTGGTCCGAGTTCTCCGAGCTTGACTTTACCGTTCGTTTATTTAAAAAGTGTACTCGGTGTAGCCTCATTCGCGTTCGTTTATTAAAATTTCTGTCACTTTTATACAGCGTTCAACTGCTCTGTTCGCTCACTGGTCACGTGATTATGGCTCCGCTCGGCACGCTCTGCTCTTTGAGCAAAATACCGAACGCAAGGTTGAATAAAATTAGTATTTTGTTTATTTTATTTATAAAAAAACGTGAATAACATTTGTTAATTATTCTAAAAAAATTATCAAGTTAAAACTCCATGTTGGGTTTTGAGAATTTTATTATTTTGTTATCAAAGCCTAAAATCAATAGTGGAAAAAATATCAGATAATAAAAGCATAAGCAAAAAAAAAGACACTTTGAGTAGTTGCTTACCTGATAGGTATTATCAAAACTATCATACATAAATCTTGTAATTAAAGATGTTTTTCCCACTGAAAAAAAGAGAGAGGGGAATTTAATAAAATAACAAACACTAGACTAAAACTAAATCATTTCAATACCACCAATTTATGTTTCAATCATAAAATGACAACAATATAATAATTAACTACAGTATTTTTATATCTGCTAATCATGTTTGTACTTGGGTAATAGATTGCATGGTAAATAAATAACAGTGAACATCTACAAAGCTAATACCTCAGCTAATAAATACATACAATACGTCACATTCAATATTACATATTTATGATTCTGGAGAGGATAAAGTAACCAGTAGTAAAGGAAAAATAAAGTTGGAGTTTTATGAAATATAATCCTAGAGGCTCGGATATAAGTCCAGTTAGATGAGCTAGGCACAAGGTAGGAATTAGTTTTAAAAATAAAATGACAACTTAGTTTGGAAATTAAAGTGAAAAACAAACAAAAACCAAATAAAATATAAAAATACAAAACATTGGTTTAACGAGGTCACCTTGTGAAAACTCAACTTTGTTATGCAGTTATCCCAAACATCTCCGAAAAACCTCCATCGAAACACCAATTTTCTGAGCAAGTAGAGGTAGATGGTAGATGGTTATATAAAAATGCGTCATTTTCAGAAAAAGAAATATATATTTAAGTGGAAGTTATTTATCCACTTTGATCCTTCCTTAGATCATAATTATGTATTCTGCAGTAAAAACTATGGTTCAGAAACTGCGAAGGTTGAAAAAAATACCCAGAAATTTTTGTCAAAACTGCCTCAGTTTTAACATTATTGGCATAAATATGACAAAATCATTTTTTTGATTATTCCTAGAGAATGTAACGTCTTTTTTTGATAAGGTAGAACAAAAATAAGTTCTGATAAAATAATGCAGCGTGAATATTTCTATTTCTCCATGAATAAATACATTATCAAAGGACGTAAGTATGTAATAAACAATTGACAAGCTCGTTTCATTATTATTGAACAAAGTCTATGGGAAAAATAATTGTTTGCTCTATTTTTCAACAATAGCTTTAATCAAATTTGAGTCAAAGGAGTATTTTCATGAGATTTTTGACAGTTAAGTAGGTAGGTATAACATGATTTTAAATCAATTCAACTACCTTCTAGAAAGAAATATACCTATATGCTACAACAATTATTTTTAGTAATTTAGTAAAAAATGTAATTAGGTATGTTCCTGCACTAATTGATGCTGATGGGCCCTCAGGATGGAACAAACTGAAACTGTAATTCAAGAACCAATAAAAGCATATTATAATTATATCTCTTGCTAAAAGTAACAGGTCTTATAAGAGAAAAAGTTTCTATGAACATATGCCCTAAGATGCTCCCTGAAGAAGTTACAGCCCTTCAAACGGTAGATGAAAATAATAGATTTTATTCATTATGAAGAAAAGTGGTAAACTATTTTCCTTGAAAATTGGTATTCTCGCATACATTTCGATGCCAAAGCGAATAGTGATAGTAAAAAAACTCGTAACTGAAAGGGTTATAGTTTTCATATGGGTAGAGGGTAGTTACTCACAAAACAAAAGAACATCTTAGGGCATATGTTCATAGGAACTTTTTTTCTTAGTTTCATAATGTAGTATCACCCCTCGAACTCCGGTACACTATTTTTTTTACACCCTGTATTTTTAAAGCAGTGTGAATTTTGCTCAGAATTTTGAAAGTGACTTTATGAGGAAAAGTAACTATGTCTTGATATGAAAGGCTTATTGGAATTTCAATAATTTCTTCCCATAAAATATAACACTTTTATTTTGTGTTAAATTCAAGTGGGCATTGGTTTTTTAGGCGCCAAATGGAAATAACTGACTTTAGCTTTTTGGAAAATAAGGTGACAATTGCATTAAAATACAAAATGTTTGTATCAGCCATAATCATTTATGATAACAAACCAGAAATAGATTCAAAATTTTGATACATGTAAAAAATTGAATGAAAAATAAATATATTAGATCTTATCTACTATTTATTAATCCAATATTACCAAATTTCCTAATTCCTTATTTGGAAAAGTGCAATTTATTTTACATTGGTTTTTATTAAAGGATTATGAACTTGGGAATTAGGAATTGAGTAATCCTGGCCTTAGCTTAGTGCAAACAGGACATTGTGAAAATAGATTAAGTATAGCCCTAGCCTAATAATACAAGCAATGATTTTCAATTTTTTAATACTGAAGTAAAAGTCTAATCCTGTATAGGTGTATGAAGCAATGTCTCAGAAGTAAGTATTAAAAATATTGAGGTACCTATTACTTGCATTTTTCTAATAAGCGTTAAATCTATAAGTCTAAAGTAGGTAGTTAAAACTTAAAGTAAAATTTCACTGACAAAACTGCAAGATATTTACATAAATTTTAATTCCTCATGCAATATTCATTAAAAAATAATTTTCTGTAAGAATTAAGTAGGCGCCTTTTGGATACAAGCGAGGATACACATGCCTTTTTAAGCGTATATAAACCAAGTAGGGGAAATAAATTTAAGGCTTACATAATAGTTAGGTACTTTTTAGGTGTTAATAGGTCTGTTCGCACAGAAATCACAAACCAGTTAGAGCGAATCCCCTTGGTTAAAAACAGTCAGAAAACAAGTTTCAACCAATGAAATTCGCTCTGACTGGTTTGTGATTTCTGTGCGAACAGGGCTAATTAGAGCCTCTAATTAAAAATTAGGTGCTCCTCAAATTTTTTAGGACATCGAAAAAAAGTGAGGGACTGTTAGGTTTATGGAGGCTAGTAGTCGCTTAAGTATAGCAAAAAAAAAATTTTTTTTTGAAAGGAAAACTTGAATCAGGTACCTAATTAATTATTGACTGAATTAGGTATACATTTCTTTGTATTACCAGGGGACTGCTGGCTTTATGCTTGAAAAAGGCATCTAGACATTTGTATCGAGATTTGTATGTGCCAAATCATCCAAGTTTTTCTTTGACTATTTAGGACCACCTGGAAAGCACCTAATTTTGATCAACCATTGAAGTATTTTTCACTGTAAGGCTTGCACATGCTTAGTATTTCTCTTTTTTTTTCGAAAACTAGAGGAGCACCTAATTTTTAATTAAAGGCCCTGATCGGTATCTTATTTGGATTTTAGGAAGTTGCTAGCTTTCATAAACCTACCTAGCGGTCCCTTAGTTTTTGATTTTCTCAAAAACTAAAGGAGCTTCTTATTTGTAATTGAAGGCCCTTATTACAGGTGAAAAGTACTAATGCTCGATACAAAAAAAAATAGATATATTTTTAATAAAGTTGACATAGGGGACTGCTAAGTATGTTTTTTTTTCGTATTTTCTGAAAAACCAAAGAAACATCTAATTTTCAATAAGAGACACTAAAATAAGAACACCTTAAAAGCACCCTATTATTATATAAACCCCAAACTTTTTCCCCACCATGGGACTGATAGGTATACAGATTTTTTTTCGAAAAGAAAAACCCAATGTGTTCTTTAAATGATTTCTAATTATTTAGGTCTCTCAGCGTTTAAAGATGAGACTGTAATAAATTAAACTAAAGGAGCTTCTTATTTGTAATTAAAGGCCCTAATTAAACGTGAAAAGTACTAATCGAGGTACTAATGTTCTATACAAAAAAAATAAAAAATATTTTTTTAATAAGTGGGTGTACAGGGGACTGCTAAGTATGTTTTTTTTTTTAAATTTTCTCAAAAACTAAAGGAGCACCTAATTCTCCATGAGAGACACTAAATAACACCTAAAAAGCACCTTATTATTATATAAGCCCCGAACTTTTTCCCCACCATGGGACTATGGGACTGCTAGGTTAACAGATTTCTTTTCGAAAAGAAAAAACTAACATATTCTAAAAGATTTTTAATTATTTAGGTCATTCAGGGTTTAAAAATGAGACTGTAATAAATTAAACTTAAGATAATAAGACAACTGAAGAATTATAAAAATACCAATATATAATAAAAAGGATTCTTTTATTGATCATTTCGACTACGCCTGAACAAAAACTTTACAACTCAGCAAGGAAAACGTCACTTACCACTTTGCTCTCCTAGAAAAACTAACTTGAATTTCCTCAAAGGATTTCCAAAATCACCCGACGTCGACATTATGGTTTTCTAATTAAAATTTATTTTATAAAATTAAAATACTTCGGATATTTCCCAGTTTATTTTATCACAACACTCCAGAACTACCAACTCCTACGTAAAAAAAAATCGTCGTGTCTGACAGTTGCTATGTCCTTACAATGCACACTGACACGAGTGAATCCCATCCCACCACCACCCAATGACGTTAGACAAGTGACCGTTAAAATGTGAGTCACGAATCACGATCAGTCACGAAAAATAGCGTTTTCGTAAAATTAGAAGATATCTGCTCGGTTACACCTAAGTGTTCTTTGAACCAACTAGGAGCTACTCGCCTAGCCCGAACTCTTCAACTATCGAATTTGAAGTGGACGTAGGTCATGACGTAGGTCGACTCCTAGATAACAGCAGCGAGATGTAGATGGCGCTTGAATAGCTGGATCTTCATCCTTGCGACTTGGGATCCTTTCCTTGCAAAGCAGTGGTGTACAGGGTCATCCAAGGACTTGAACGGCGAATTTTTGACTTTTCCGTAATTTTTGAGAAAATCCAAAATAATCATTTTATGATTATTTGTTTCCATTAGAATCTAAAAATGCAATTAAGAAAACGAATCAACTGAAAACAAAAGAGTTGTGACACAAACTTGTATTTTTTTCAATGGGAATCAGCCTTATTCACGTGTCCGCTTGTTTATTGAAATTTTCCAATATTGGATATTGAGACATCTCAATATTGAATACATTTCTTATTCACGTGTACCCCTTGAAAACGGGATTGTTGGAAATTGGAAAACTGTTATTTAATTGAATAAGTAAACGCGGCAACACTGTAAAATTGTCAAAAACCTCTAAAATGTAACCTCACTTTTCACTTTGTTGTTTATTTACAAAGTTAGTTGTTTATGAGTTGAGTTTATTTATTTATTTTACTGTCTGATTTGATGATGGAGAAAAAACGAACATCGAAAAAACAGTTTGGACTTTACATAAAGTTCGTAAAAGAAAATCCAGTTTTAATTACGGGAAAATTGCAACCATCCGGCAATCCCAAAGATCTGGAGGTGTTGTGGGATGAATTGAGCAAAGTCCTCAACTCCTGTGGGGACGGACCCATTAGGGAAACAGCTTCCTGGAAAAAGGTAAGTAATCAACTTTTTAATTAATAACAATAAATATTGAAATTTGTGTCCTTCAAACAAATGTAATTTATTTTGGACCTATTTAAAACACAATAATCTTAGGCTTGCTTGATGTTTTTGCTGCTAAAAATGACAAAATACAAAAGTACCACTGACTTGCAGATATAAGTGTATCGTGTATCTACTCTTTACAACAAAATCTAAAAAAAAAACTAAGAAAACATTTATTTATAGTTCATCATCAATATAAAAAAACATTATTGTTCATCCTAGGTCTTCACTGAATGGAAAAGTGCTTCAAGGAAAAAGGCAAGGGAGAACAAACAACTCTCAGAGCTGGAAGAAGAAATTCTTACAATAACAGGTCGGGGTGCTGTCAGTGGTTTGGATGTAAGAGAACTAGGAACTGAAACAACTGAAACAGAAGATAAGTTGCCCAAGAAGGAAAAAATTCAGAGTGGCCCTTCTAAAGTCAAGGTATGCGAAACAAAAAACAATATTTTTCTTATACTTGTGATCCTGAGCACCACCCTTAAAATATTATTTACAGTGCTTAGATAATATTGTTGGACATTCAAGTGATGAAGCCAAGGATGAAGCTTCATCTAGTAACAGTGAGCCAAAAAATGTTCACAAGGAGAACATCCCAAAGACAAGTAAGGGCCATTTTTTTTTATTATCGGTTAAAAACCTGTTTATATTCCTTTCTGAGTTCAACGTTGCCAAAAATTAGGTTGCATTCAATTTTTTATTGGTGTTTTTTTTCTGTATATATATGTTACAGACCTTACAGAGCAGACCTTCTGGACCTTTTGTTTTAAATTATAGAGCCAAAGAAAAAACGTACAGGGGATGTGCTTTGTGACACATATGAAGCAGCCACAAATGAGACCTGTGAGAAATTGGAGGGAATTAGCTTAGCAATATTAGAAGTAGCCAAAGCTATCAATCGTTATTGTGACATTGTCGAAGCTTCCAACCAAACAATAGAATATGTAGATGAACAAAATGCTGAGGAAGTAGAAGACGAGGATAATTATTAATTAATAATTTATTATTAACCATTGTAGTATTTATAATCCTAGAGACCCAAAGAATTTATTTTTTCGTTTTTTTTTGTTGTTAATTTTTAGAATTTTTTTTTTATGTTGTATTATTAGGTATATTCTGTTATCATTATTATTTTGTGTTTTTATGACACATTAATAAATTTGGTACGTGTTAAATATTTTATTTCATATAGGTAACTAGAACTATATTCTCTATGTTCACAAAAACAATTTTTTGGATGTTTCTTAACACAATTACTTTTGGAAAACATAGTCAGTTTAGTTATGCATTTTAAAATTAATTACTTTTAGGGACTTCAAAAATGAACTATGAACAATATGAGATGTATATAGATTATTTGGGGAAAAAAGAAAAGAATTTAAGTCAACTATGTGAACATCTGAATGCAGTACCTGGCGGCTCTAAAAAAAATTTACGTGAGTGGCAAGAGGTATGATAAGTTATTGTCAAGTTAACATTATAAAATAAACCAATCCAAACCATGTTACTAATTTCAGTAATTTTCAGGCATTTTCAAATTGGCAAAGAGCTGTAAAACATAAAGCAAGAGCGATTTACGTTAGTCAACACCTCACAGGAGGTGGATTCCCCACACCCAAAATATTAACTGTTTTGGAGGAAAAGCTTTTGTGTATTATAGGTATACTGTGCATTCATGGCATGTTAGTACCTGAATTAGGATTTAAAAATCCGGTATGTATTTTTTCAAGAAATGCTTCGAAAGTCTACTCTCCACTTTTAAATATCTATGTGTTTCAGAATCCATCAAGAAACGTTATTAAAAAAAAGAGAACTCCAAAGAAAACCGTAGTATACCAAATCAAGAAGTCTAAAATTAGAGAAACAAAATTACAAAAAAAAATTCTTTCTTCCTTAAAATATAATGTAAAAATGGTAAAAAAAAAATTAAAATTACTTGTTGAATCAGTTTGGAAGCTGGCATATGCAATGAAAAGAATACTAAAATTATTGTTAGACAGTAAGTTCAGTTTTTAGTATTAAAGTCTATGGTATTAAGTATGTATTATTTTTAAATAAAAATAAAAAAGTACCTGAAGATCCTGATTTTTTATGCTCCATGAATTCAGTTGCCAAGCGATCTAAAAACTAGGAAGGAATAAAAGACTTTAGTGAATAAAATAAAAATTTACTTAGGTACCTACTGAATTATTATAAGGTTACCTATAGGTAGTAATATTTTACAGATAAAAATCGTCAGTGCCCTATTAGCAAGCCTATTGGGTATGTGGAAAAAAACTGTATTCTATGCTATCTATATTATAGGTACTACATATTGTAAAAATAATCTCGAATAATTCTATCTCTAATTATTTGTCCTTCATTGCGATAATTTTGACCTAAATCTAAATTATCTATGTCAATAATTGGATCATCATGCTCCATCTGATCTCCATTAGGTTCATCCATATCATCAATGAAATCTCTTCTTTCAATCAATATGTTGTGAAGAATGGCACAGGCATTTACCAACTTTGCACTTTTTACTGGGCTATAGTGAAGTGCCCTATGACCAAAACAACACCTAAATCTTGATTTTAGTATCCCAATAACCCTTTCAATAAGGTTTCTTATTGTTTTAAAATTGGTATTGAATCTTCTTTGTCCCTCATTCAAATTGTTTCCCACTATTGGTGTAACTAACCACGGCTCTAGTGGATAACCACTATCTCCAAGAAGCCAAGAGGATCTGTCACCATCCAAAAAGTTTTGCATCAAATGCATTCTAGGTAAACTTGTGCTCCATACAGCTGAGTCATGCACACTCCCTGGGTACCTTGCATTGATTGCTGAAATTTTGTAATCTGCACCACATATTAATTGTACATTTAAACTATAGAAGCCCTTTCTATTATAAAATAGAATTCCAGGAAAAACTTCATCTTCAGCTGGAGGAGCTTGAATTTTTATGTGGGTACCATCAATTATCCCAATGATACCTGGAATGAGAATGTCAATCATTAGATAAAAGGAAAAATGGAATTTCATTATTCCAAAATCATTTTCAGAAATAAAAAGTGTAGGTAGGTATTCAAAATGTTTGACTTTGATCCTAAGCCCCACTTTGAATGCCTCCTCCATTTACTAGTGACTAGTGGTAATTTTTTGTTCGAGAGTGAATGGAGAAACAGGTGAAAACACTTTTTGCAAGGACACAAACAGGCAGCTGGAAAGTTTTTTTAACATGCTTCTACAGAGATTATTCATAAAAATCGTTTACCAACAGCAGTTATCATCATCATTAGTATTCTACTCACCTGGAAACCCATCCAAATTTTGAGCAAATTTAAGCTTTTCTTCATTTTTTTCTTGATCTGTGGTAGGAAAGTGAATTTTGTGGCCAAAATGATTGTTTAGGATGTCAGTTACCAAGTCAAGACTTCTACTGACAGACGCTTGGCTCATAGGGCAATTGACATCTTGTCCTGTGGACTTTTGATAAGTGCCCTGAGCATAAAAATGCAATGCACTTAAAATAATTAGAGATTTTGGGATGCCATGCGGACGTTCTGCATCTGGAAGAAATTGCCCAATTTCCTCAATTAGATATCTTGCAGTATTTTTTGAAAACCTGTAGATATTTTTAAAAATATTTTCTGGCAAATCCAGAGGGTTGCTTGTTTCCCGAAGGTTCTTCTTTCTCTGATTGTGTTCAAGTCTAAAAGTATAAATACGATCATAGTTATCCAAGGCACTCTCCTTGTTGATTTTCTAATATACGATTTTTTTATAGCTCATACCACTCACCAGGAATAAAGAGCTTCCTTACCTTCGATTTTCTTCTTCTAATGCTGCAATTAACAACGGAAAATTATCCATAATTGAAAATAAAATTACCACAGTCACTTCTAAATTGTAAACATAACACAAAAACCAATAGATTTCCAATATCCAATCTGATAAGCCGGTGCCTGAACCACCTGCTTACAAAATATGAAACACTGAAAACTGTTATTGGAAAATATGATACACCTGAATAAGAAATTCGATGTCAATTTCAATAACCAATATGTCATTCAATAACCAATATTCAATCCGACAACTAAGGAGCACCTGAATAACAATCCACCATGTTTTTACAGTTTTCCAATAACCAAGGCAATAACCAATATCCAAGGACACACGTGAATAGGGCTGAATAGCCGATTTTTTGTTTCATGTCATGTTGACTCGTCAATTTATGTCGGGTAGTTTTGTTTTGGTATGAAAAAAGGACGGTTCTAGAACGGTTCAAAGCAATCGCACAGTTTACCAATCAACAAAATGACAACGGGCTCGGCTATCAAAAATTCCAATAATAAGTGCGATTAATTGTTTCGGACCATTCTAGAACCGTCCTTTGTTCAAACCAAAACAATGCTAATAGGTCTGTTTCTGCAGAAATCACAAACCAGTCCAGAGCGAATTTCATTGGTTGAAAACAGTCAGAAACAGTTTGAAAACTAGTTTTCAACCAATGAAATTCACTCTGATTGGTTTGTGATTTCTGCAGAAACAGACCTAATATTTTAAAAACGAATTATAGTTCCTAGCGAATTTTAACATTCCATTTGAAGAAATAAAAAATTAACTTGAGCAGGTTTATCGAAAGCTAGTAGGTACATATACCTAGGTACCGTAGTGTCGGTATACTTTGCCACGGTTTTCAGACTTTTTCTCTGATATTTTTTCAACCGATATAGCAATTTGTATGGCTACAGACTATGTACAAATTCCATGTTCTGGCTATAGATGCCTGTAAACACAAATAATTAGAAAGTAATGCTTCTATTTATTTTTTTTTGTTAAAAATTTGGCAAAGTCTCCTGCAAATTGGTGACACTTTGCCAACGCGTTTAAAACCACCTAAATCTAAATGTAAGACTATTATATGGGTTAGTTTGCCTTCATAGTTTTTGTAGTGCCGGCTGCCTATTTTTTTTTTGTAGATTCGACCCATATTTTGATCTAAAAAACCAAAAACCGTAAGAAATATATATGGCAAAGACACCTACGAGTGGCTTGCAAGGTCACACTTTTTTTAAAATCATTAGCCATATTGAAGTGTATATTTTGGCAAAAGGATTTATTTTGGGTTAATCGTATTCATATAGGTGTCAGAAGTCTTACTATTTTAAGAATTAAAAATCTTAAAATTCTTAGCTTACATGCAGCACGTGTTCATTACCACCATAGCGCAGCAATCGCAAGTCTGACTATTAGCAAAAAGTTAACCACGTTTTCTTTAATAGTTCCTACAACTTTCGATAGGTTTCTGCCATTGTAGTTACAAAAAATATTGTTACAAAAAAAAAAGTAAACTCTGGCAAAGTCACGTTGGATGGCAAAGTACCTATACCAACACTACGGTACCTATTTTTTTTTTTTTTTTTTTCTAATTGACAACGAATGACCACGAATAAGTTTGAAACGTTTATTTGAAAGACACGAATTAGTTGGTATACCTAAAATTAGATTAAATAATGAAAAACACCAGTAATGCCTAATTCTAATAATTCAAATGCTCAATAATGTGGCGTGGCCACCATTTTATTTTCAAAGCTGACCCAGTCCCGTTTTCAATCTTTTCTAGACTTGCTGTAAGAATGTGATTTCCTCCATCAAATCGATTCATTTAATTTTGAATTTTAGTTTTAACTTCCTGAATATCTCGGCTTCTTTGATGGTGAACAACATTTTTTAGAAGACTTCATGAGAAAGTGTCCATTATTGTAATATTAGGACTATTTGGTGGTGCTCAAAAACTCCAAAACACTTCGAACTGCATGAGGTAGAGCTCCATTCTGATATTTCTGCTGCCAAATAATGTTCCGATGCCATTACGATTACAAATTACGGAGAATTCCTCCAGAAGGTTTTCAATGCTATTTTCGATAAAATCTAAATATCTTTGACCAGTTAAAAAACGCAGTTCTTTCTGGTCAGCCGTCAGATGTTGCACTGGACGAAATCGAAATGGTTGCAACTGGGCAATGCTAAAACTTATTCTTCTAGACGGCCATATCGGAAGTCTCTTGTCTCTAGCACCATCATCTGATGTAATTGAAATTTTTCGGGTTCTGTCTGAAGTAATTTAATATCACACCTTCTCGGATCCTTCCTATTTCAGGAGCCCTTTTTTTTATCATGTAACTATACTTCGTCTGTGAAATAAACGTTTCAAACTTGAAATTGTGTCAAGGGAAAATAGTTCTACTGTTCAGCTAAAGTATCTTCGTCTAGTTTCTCGTGCGTTTTTTTTTTTAACATTTAATAAAATAAGATTACAATCTGAAATCTTTCTTTCAATATTACCTTGCATTTTTTGGGAACTATTACACCTCAATTGAAATATGTAGGTATTCACCAAAAGTTTCTCGATCTTGAAACGAATTACTACCAGTAGCTCTCTGATTTTAGAGACTATTTCACCTATCAAATTATTTTTATGAAATAAAATAATCTATTTCGAGTTCTTTGTAATTTGTAATTTTTGCTTGATAACTCACATTCAACCCTAAACAAATTTACGCAAATTACGAACAATTTTCTGCCGATTTCATTTTTTAGGTGAGCTCTCCCCCAAGCTTCGACATCGGTAGCAGATTTGGTATCGAAAAGTCAGCCAAAAAGTCCAGGAGTCATCCGAGCCCCATTCAAGTAGATTATTTTATTTTATAAAAATATGTAATTTGAAAATTCTTCAAGACAGGTCATTTATAATGCCGGTTTTCCACCAAACCGACAAAACAAAAACAAAACTTAAACTCAGACAAAGCTCCAACTTTTCCCAAACATTTTCAAGATTAGCGTGTTTTGCTCATTTGGAGTTTTGTTTTTCGGGTTAATTTTGAGTTTTAAAACATGTTTCAAAACAAAAACTCAACAGTCCGTTTGGTGGAAAACCGTCATAATAATAATTTTCAAATTTGGAAGGAATTCATCGCAACGATGTCAATTGTGAAATACCAAAATTAACAAAAAAAAAGAAGCCCATAAACGATATAAATGTAGTGGATTAGTAAGCGATTATGAAGAATTTTCTAACTTGAGACGATTATGCAAAAAACAGACAGACACTTGTTACAACAGTTTCATGTTGGATGTAGAGCAAAATGTCTTAGATAATCCAAAGTTCTTTTGGAAATATGTTCAGGATAAAAAAAAACAATTGCATCCCCAATACAATTAAGTTCAATAACCAGATATCATCTGATGGCAAACAAATTGCAGACTTTTTTGCACTGCATTTTCAACCAGTTTATGAGGCTAATGATCAGGTAAACGACATCACTGTACATTCTGATCCAGGAATCTCAAATATTAACCTTAGCTCATATAAAATTAAGATTTCAGATGTTCTCAGTGGGTTGGAATTATATAAAGGTCCTGGACCTGATGGAATATCTCCAATATTTTTGCGGAATTGTGCTTTTTCTTTGTCTAGACCTCTCTGGCTGTTGTTCGGGTCCTCTTTGGCTGAGGGTGTGTTTCCTCGTACATGGAAGTTAACTTATGTAACACCTATTTTCAAGGGCTCAGGTTCGAAGGATGAGGTTGAAAACTATCGACCAATAACGAGGCTTTCACTGATACCAAAGTTGTTTAAATCAATAGTTAGCTGTGTATTTAAAAGATAATCTAGAACGAGTTATAATCCCAAATCAACATGGATTTCACACTGGTCGGTCAACTACTACTAACCTTTTGATCTACCATGATTACATTGTTAATGCCTTGGAGAATAGATTTAATGTGGATTCAATCTACACAGATTTCTCGAAGGCATTTGACAAAGTTAATCATATTTTACTTAGTCAGAAACTTCATGTTGTAGGTGTTCATGGCACCTTACTTAAATGGATTGAATCTTACTTGAGTCAACGTACACAAATAGTTAAAATTAATAATTATTGTTCACTTCCAATCAAGGTTACCTCTGGAGTTCCCCAAGGGGCTCACATGGCTCCACTTTTGTTCAACATTTTTATTAATGATATTTCATCTTGCTTTGAGTTCTGTCAATTTTTAATGTTCGCAGATGATCTGAAAATGTTTTCAATGATTGAATCAAATAAGGATACAGTTAAAATCCAAAAGGACTTGGACACTTTTCATGCATGGTGTGACAAAAATAGATTGTTTCTTAATGTAGATAAGTGTAAATATATTCATTTTACTAAGGCTGTTATTGTGGAGTCGAACAACTATTATTTGAGCTTGACTCAGCTCGAGAAGGTCGAGACAGTGAAGGTTCTCGGAATTGTTTTTGATTTTAGACTCAGTTTTGCTGACCATTTGAATTTTTGTAGGAGCAAGGCATTGCGAATGCTAGGCTTCATTTTTAGAAATACACAGGACTTTACTAATTTGAATGCCTTGACAATATTGTATTTTAGCCTAGTTAGGTCCCACTTGGAATACTGTAGTGTCATTTGGTCCCCATTTTTTCAAAAATATATTTCAAGTTTATAGTCGATTCAGAGAAGGTTTTTGCGTTATATTGCGTTCAAATTAAAAATCCCTTGTGACCAAGTAGACTTCAGTGAATTGAAGATGTTTCTTAACATTCAGTCATTGGAGACTAGGAGGTCGAATTTAGATGTACTGTTCGCACATAAAATTCTGCATGGTTTTATAGACTGCTCGGAACTTCTCCATCAACTTGACTTTTACGTTCCCCCACGATCATTGAGAAATCATAAAACTTTTCAAACGCAGCAGCATCGAACGTGTTACGGTCAAAACACTGCGGTGATTAGAATCATGGAGGGTTGCAACAGTATTGATGTTGATCTGTTTATGGTCTCTGAGCTTTCATTGAGAAATGTGCTGAGGAGGCAGTAGTTTTATAGCATTTGTGCCTACTTATTGTTGTATGGTCAATTTAATTCTGGCTTGAATCTGAATGATTGTAGATTGTAATACCTACCCAACTGTTGTGGTGCGCCTATCTGGGTCACGGTTTAGGAGTACTACTTATTGTATTAATTGTATTTTGTATTTCTGTTAGTACTAGAATTAAGGCCGGGGTTACCCAATTCCTTAATTCCTAATTTTTGTTCTTAATTCTTAATCCTTAAAAACACCAATGTTAAATAAATTGAACTTTTTAAGAATTAAGAATTAAGAACAAATATTAAGAATTAAGAAATTGGGTAACTCCAGCCTAATATTGTAAATGCCTACCATGTATGTAATGGATATTCCGTTAAATAAATATTCCGTTAAATAAATAAATATATCCCATAACGTTAACTTTCGTCACTAGTGAAGAAAGTGAATGATTACAATTTCACATGCTAAATACAAAAATACATCCCTCAAATCCAATTATAATTTAATTCTGTAAAGCACAATGAAAAAATACAGTTCATCACAAAATTATTTAAATTTTGCTTACTATAATATAATCATATAATGCAATAAAAGCAAAATATAGTTATAGGATTATCGCAAAAACGTTAACATAACATTAATTGACAGATGGCGTCTTGTATCAAGTTTTCAAGCGTCATCTATCAAACCGAGTAGAAACCATCGTGAAAAAAAAACTTTTACTTGAACAGAAACTGTAAAGCAAACCATAAGTCATAGAAAAAGTATAGTGTTTTACTCGCCAAAAATGGTGTGTCCGTAAAGTGTTAGTTTCAAGTTTTGCGAGAAAAAAAAATCGTACGCCTCTGTATCTCAAAATCCCCCAGCCGAGCGGCCATTTTGTTAGGCCTATAATCTTTCTACAAACAGTGCGTACATTTGGAAGATAAAATATGAAATTCGTCGCTCTTATCATTATCAGATAAAAGGATTTTTGTAATTTGGTCCTAAATGTCTTAGCGCAAATCCTTTGCAAAATGCCGACCGTGCAATAAAATGGCGTCGAATTTTTTTTTATGCGGGAAACAAATTTCAATATTTGAAATAAAATTACCGCGAACGCCCCAACTCCTTTTAATTTAATTCACGTGTTGCATAATTGACGAAGTATCGATCGTTAGCTTTTTCCTTTATTATCCGCAGGTGATAAAGTGAGATAGACGCTTCAAGGAACTGGAGATGAACTGGCACTAACTGAGCTTGATTCATGTGTTCGGGCTCGTTTCTTGTTCGTCGTGCTTTCTATCGTTTGAGTTGGACGGACGGTCGACGGTCCCTGTTTCCAATTCTTAATACATACAAACGTCATTATTTTGCATAAAATTTTCATTGTTGTAAATTTGTTTAGTTAATACGTCATTCGCCACACGCCAAGAAAATTCGTTCCGAGAGAGTGAAATTCATTCGATCTAACCTTAATCCAACATCGCACCCCTCAAAACTGCGGTTCCAGTAAAGACTGTCAAAAATTTGTTTTTTAGGATAGACTGCACATGTAAGTATTTATTAATTATTATTATAAATACATAATTCGAATTCCTTGCTCCCTAAAAATACTACAGACCACAGATCATCTCATCTAATTCATAATAGGCACATTTACATAAACCTATTTTTTTCCAATAAAATCAAAATAGGTCCACACCATCTCAAGTAGTACCTACCATCCAATTGTATCTTTTTTTATGTAGGTAAATATTTTTTTTTGTTTATCAAAACCCACATGAAGCCTCGCAGCTTATATTGGTGGCAACATTATTTTGACTAGCCTTCGTAGCCAGTTTTTTCTTCTCCTTGCTTTTTTAAGCTCATAAATTCATGTAAACATTGTTTCTATACAGAGACTGCAACGCTGGTCTGGATATAAATAAAACACTTGAGTTTATTTTGACTATAAAGTAGTTCAAATAAATAATGAACATTTATGTAAGCTGTTTTTGCCAAAAGAAGTGAAACTTTATTTAAAAATTAATATGATGAATGACAATAAATTTTTATTGATTGAAACAATGTTTACATTACACAAACCAAATATCAATAATATGTGGTACTTCTGTAGGTAGTAGGTACCTACTTATGTAGCAATTGTAGCAACTGTAGCATACAGAAAACCACTGCGTACTGTGAACTATGAATGATCTATTAGTTTTTCAAGTATTTGTTGCTGTTTGCCTTAAGCAAGCAACAATACTTAATTAGTATAAAAATTTCTGGAAAAATTATAAAAATTCCCAAGTTCCTTTATGGTTTTATGACTTTAAATTCTTCTTATTTGTCTAGTAATTATTTTATGATTCACTTTTACTAGAATACTTAATTACTAATTAATTTCTGACACCAGAGGTACCTAACATTCTCAATAATATTTGTGAAGTTAGGCGTTATCTGTTTAACAAATTATTTATGTAATTTACAGTATCTATTCCTTTAATTAGTGCGGCTTCTACAATTTGAACAAAAAATAAATAAAATTTAGATAAAAAGTTGTAGGGTTTCATCTCTATTAACCTATTGCACATGTCATAACAGGCAAATGACAGGTGCTAAGTGTTATAATGGTGAACAGATGCATTTTTTTAAATGTAACAACCTGTCGTATATTTTTGGTTTTGCGCTATCTAAGTTCAAGGATGCATTTACATTATCGTGTAGGGCTTTAATGATATGTAACAAGGCAGTTTCCCTTATACAAGACTAACACTTCTCCACTTACAAGTTTCAAGAACATTCTAAAAAAGATAGTCCAGATCTATAATTTTCATATTATTCTCAATATTTTTGGAACATCAAAACCTCCTGCTTGGACTCTCGGACTATTTAACTTTAACCCGGAAAGATTGTTATTACCATATTTTTGCATAAAAAAAGTTTTCATCTCATATCATGTTGCTTCCCATTTAAAAAAAGCTGAAATTTCTAAAAAGGATTCAGTTTTACTTGAGGGGCTACCCACTAAGTAGTAGAAAAATGTGGCAAGATTGCAGAATCGAGGGATTGGAAGCATTATTATTATTATTATTATTATCGAGGAAAGTATGTAAATGTTCAAGCATTGTAGGTAAATTGCATAAAAAGTCAAAAAGACGCACTTTTAACAAAAATGTTGACCATGTTGTGGTTTTCAAGGCGATTTTGGACATTCGTAAGAAAGCACTTTCAGGACAAAAAGAGTTGTAGATTTGGCAGTTTCCAATAATCAATATTTCAAAGATGCAATTTTGAAAGTTTTGAAACAAGAATACCTCTATAAAAAGATCTTTATGAGTATTAGCTCGAATTTGGATTGTTTTTTTTTCCCTATTTTAAGTTCACTTTGGATGGATTTTGATTGGGAAGAAGTGAGAAAAAGCAGAAAATGTTAAAATGCACACTCATTTTGGACACTTTTTTTTGATATCTCAAGGAAACTTTAGGACAAAGGACCCCGCAATATTCAAATGGAAATTGGTTACTTGTGATATTTGGATGAAATCTATTTATGTTATTGGGGATGCCATAAGCAACATTTTTACCATAAGCAGAACTTTGTATGGTGTCTCTCGCTTAAGGATTGACCCGAGGACTGACCACCCTTCTAAAATTTTTATTTTTTAAACGATTCATTTTTTTTTTGTCTTATATCTACTTGAATTTGGCACCTATTAGCCTCATAATTTTATTTCTGCGCGGTACTGGTGTACAGGGTGTCGACATTTATAGGCTCAAATTTCAGTAAGTACATACTATTACGGATTTTTTTAGAAAAAATCTGTTTCTTGTTTAAAATGGTCTAAAACCCAAATGTACTAATTCTTGTTTCAATATGATACAGGGTGATCACAACAAATTTTCAAAGTTTAATGGACCAAACCACAAACATGTCATATTTTAAGGACTTAAGAACAACAAAACTTGATACAACATAGTTTTAGAACATCGTTAGCCAAAACTTGTAGTAAGCTTGTCTGAAAATATGGCATTTTTGCGGTTTGATTCATAAAATATTGAAAATTTGTTGTGATCACCTTGTATCGTATTGAAGCAAACATTAGTACATTTGAGTTTTAGACCATTCTAAGCAAGAATTTGCTATCAGATTTTTTCTAAAAAAAATCCCTAATAGAAGGAACTTATTGAAATTTGAGCCTATAAATGTGGACACTCTGTAGACCAGTACAGCCGCAGAAATAAACTTATGAGCCTAATAATTGCTAAATTGGAGTAGAGATAAGACAAAAACACAAAAAAATTGAATCAGTTGAAAAATAAAAATTTTAGGAGGGTGGTCAGTCCTTAAGCGGGACACCCTGTATATGTATATGACAGGTGAGGCGGTGTAAACTGTCAAATATTGGAATCTAATATTCAAAAGCAGATTTTGATTTGAAGTCAGACATGAAATATCGATTTCTACAAGGTCAACCAAGGTAAATTGAAAAATGTCAACCATTTTGACACCTGTCAAAACCATGCCAAACGGCAGCACTCATATTTTTAAGATTTCAGTATTTTTTGATATGTAATTTGACATTTTAAGCTTGCATGTAAATTCTGAATTCAAAAATTGGAAAAAAATACAGAATTGTCAAAACCTGTCATTTGTTTTTATAGAAAACATTACTCCAATCTGGTTCTTTTTTTCTTTTTCGTTTTAAGGTGGTTTGTTGATGATAAAACATTCAACAAAATTCATACACGTCACATTTTGACAGCTGTCAGAATCTGTCAATACTTTGTTTAATGCTTTATCACCAACCAACTACCCTTTAAACGAAAGAGAACCATTTTTTTTTCTACTAAAACGAATGCCAGTTTTAATAATTTTTTTTACACTCAGAATATATTCAAATCAAAAATAGCTTTATTGTTGTAAAACTCATGTTATTCACAAAGCCATACTTAACATCTGAATATTAACTGAATAAACAGGTCAAAGTTAAAATGACAAATAACAAAATAAGCGGAAAAATAAAAACAAACAAGGAAAAACATTAACCTGATACACAACAACACCCAATCAATACTCAATACTCAATTTTATTTGTGTTAAGTAATATACATAAGCACTTACAGTCATCAAATAGTAATAGAACAATAAAATTTTACAATCAATTTATAATTTATACACAGTATTTTCAATTAAAACTTAACTTATTTGACAAGATCAGACATTCACTAGTTCACCCTAAGACATAATACAATAGAAGATTTCATTATGAATGACTTTGGCAGAAAGTCGACAAACAAAGTCACATAACCTAGCATTGTCAATTTTTTATTTTTTTTTCAATTTTGGGCTTAAATTTAATAATTATGGCAGTTTTGGGAGAACGTGATATGTTTTATCGCGAGGCGATGAAGCGATGTGTGTTTGGTGATTGTAAAAGTGATAGTCGAACGAGTTCCATTAAATTAACGACCCCATTTGCCTCTACTGGAGTTTTAGGTTACACAGCACCTGTCACATCACTTTCTGTTAATTTTATCAAACGTTTTGCAACCAAAGAAGCCATAGCGAATGCACCGAATACTTACGAAAGCGTAGATTTGACAAGATGCTGTGTTACCTTAAACTCCAGTGGAGGCAAATAGGGTCGTTAATTTAATGGAACTCGTTCGACTATCACTTTTACAATCACCAAACACACATCGCTTCATCGCCTCTCGATAAAACATATCACGTTCTCCCAAAACTGCCATAATTATTAAATTTAAGCCCAAAATTGAAAAAAAATTAATAACATTGACAATGCTATTTATAGGTTATGTGACTTTCTTTGTCGACTTTCTGTCAAAGTCATTCATAATCAAATCTTCTATTAAGGTATATACAATGATACAAAAAAAAAAAACAAGAAATAAATTAAAATAACAAAATATGTAGTGAAATACAATAAAATATAAAATCACAGTAAAATATGTAGTAGAATATAAAATCACAGTACTTAAGTTTTTAGTCACAAGGACATGTTCAAAATTTGTACTTGAGGAACTCCTCAAATGAGTAAAAACATTCTGAACACAAAAATGCTTCATCCTACTTTTGAATTTGCCTCGCTCTAAGCTTTTCATGTTATTCGGAAAACTCTTAAAGAATTTAACAGAAAGATAGCCTGGACCGTCCTGACACTTCTTTAACCTATGATAAGCTGGGATGATCAAGTTTTTCTGTCTTGTGTCATAGCTGTGGCCTCACCATGCACCCTGAATTTATCCTCATTGTCCTTTACATACAGCAGATTTTTCAAGTATGTAGTGAGATAGTAAAGTACCTAAGTATATTCAAACTTTTATAGGCCTGTCTACAGTCCTCCCTGAAACCCAACTCCGCCATAATGTAGATAGCCTTCCTCTGAAGCCCAAAGAGTCTCGCCACAAGGGGGGAGTGACCCCAAACCAAAATACCATAAGTCATAACAGAGTGAAATATAGTAGCATGGTATGAAATCTTCACCACATTATCTGAGACACTATGGGAGAGATTAAGAAGGACAAAAAAGATCTTTGCTAAGCTTT